AATCGATCATCGCGTATTCGCCCTTATGAATGCTCACTGTCGATTTTATTTTCGAAGCGTCAAATTTAAGTGAAAATTCACCAAGTGGAACACAGCCTCAATAAACTTTATTCGTACACGGTAAGAAACAAGTACCCAACGGCCAGTTCACTTTTAGTTACTTTTGAGTTTGTCTCCTTTCCTGTTGTCAAAAACGGAGGAGCAAAACCACTCGCAAAACCACCCAAAGAGGGGTAGTGAAGTGTGGGAACTCAACATTGAGTATAATTTATAATTGATGTACACTGGAGTCGCTTTTTACGCGGTTTTTTTACACGGTTTTTTTTACACGGTTTTTTTTACGCGGATTTCGGAATTTACGCGGTTTTTTTTACGCGGATTCCGGAATTTACGCGGTTTTTTTTTTACGCGGATTTTGTTTTTTTTTACGCGGATTTCAGAATTGACGCGGTATATCGCTTTTTACGCGGTTTTTTCTTACACGGTCTTTTTTTACGCGTTTTTTTTACGCGGATTTCGGAATTTACGCGGTTTTTTTTACGCGGATTCCGGAATTTACGCGGTTTTTTTTTACGCGGTTTTTTTTTACGCGGGACATATCACCCGCGTAAAAAGCGACTCCAGTGTAATATACAAATAGAAACAACTACACTACGATTAAACCCAATAAACATTTTAAGCGGAATAAGAGCTTTTTCAGGCAAAAATATGCTTTTTCAGCTATAAGATCAACCGGTGAACACGAGGGGGACGACTCTATCTACGATGCAAAAAAGATTGTGTTTTGCTGTGGCTAGCTGCGCCAACGCTGAGTAGATAGAAAGAAGATTTATGACGATTCTGAAGATTTCCTGCAAAAAATTGATGAGCGATGCAAGTAGATGCGACAAATGAAAGAAGATTGTTCGAAGATTGATTCGCTAGTGTGAGATTTGTTGACCATCTAAACTTGAGATTTAGATGTGTCGCCCCCCTCGGGTGAACACTCGTGTTGATTTCAGTTACCGTGTGGACGTAATTTGTGATTAGCCCGGGACATGGGAGGGTTAAATCTCGGATGCAATACAACCTCCACTTAAGCGCCAGGCAAGCTTTATCTTGCCGCGAAGGAGCACGTTTCTCAAACAAGAATCCCGTACCCGGCTGCGAGACCTCAGGGCGAGTCCTTAATTGTTGCCTTAACCCACGGCCGAAACTTCAATACCCGAACTTCAACGAATAATGGACCTACCAAACCAATTCAACTTCCAGGGTAGGTAGGTTTCCTTTGAAGGTTTGCCTACCCAGAGCCTATTCTACTCGTCCCGACACCGAAAACTGTAACGAACGTTCTCTCTCCACCAAACTTAAGAAGGTCATACGTCTGAGGGAACCTACGCTACATGTGGGTCATAATTATTCTTCGCTAATGTGCCAAATCAAAAAAAAGCCGCACTGGTGTAAAACTTATATAATTGGTACAACGTCCAGGCGTTCTAGTAGTAGGGTTAGTATGGTACAAATGTTGGATCGATCTTACTTGTTCTTCTTTTCTGCTACGGAATTCCGGCACCTATATTCGTCCCACGACGTCCTACGGTGTCCACGGGGCCTCCTGCGAGTGCACCTACCGACGATATCACACGTGCGAATTCAATTTTTCGGTTGGCCTCCTGTCGGCAACTAGCCGCAACGTATGTTGCTCGAGCAATGGATAGCGAGTGTGACGCTTAGGTTGCCACCTGTCGGTCACTAGGAGAGACCATGTGGTGAATGTGTGATGACAATGGTGACAGCTGTTCGAGGCGGTGATTCCCGACAATGATGGTGCAAGGTTGTGCATTATTTATGTACAGTCTAAAGAGCCTGAATTTATAAAGAGGCAACATCTTATCTATTTGACAGGTCTTCTGCTCGATTGGAATGACTTTTCCTATGACTTTGACAGACAATCGATTTTTCCAATTTTGACATGTCGTCTCTTTATAAATCCAGGCTCTTTAGTACAGTCCATATATTTGAAATGACGTTTCAAACATGTGCTGCACTCTCATTGGTGGAAAAATGGCAGCACAGCGATAAAAAAATCGATTAGTTGTTAATCGAGTAATTAAAAAATGGGACATCTCTGATTTGGGTGTGATTGTTTTGATCAAAATTTGCGCAAAATTTCATCTCTACCGAGGGGGCAGCAAAACCACAAAATTACCTCGAATACGGGGGGTATTCATTGGATGAAAGGGACCGTGAAAGAGGACACTAAAATAGAAAGTTTTTCTTCCAACAGTTTCATCTTAGTATTCATCTTTGGTTATATTACACAACCGATGGATTGACCTGGTTGCAGCAGTTTGGATGTAACACAGACAAACAGACATAACACTCGTAAGTTGTTCATCGAACAAGCATTTAACGGACAATTTAAAAGTATCGCAGTTGGTAGTACCGCCACCTGTGGCGCGCATAGTCAATTCCGTTGCATTTGACGTTTACACACTACCGCCATCTGTTCAGTGTACTACCCACCACAGTGTGCTCAACAGATGGCGGTAATGTTTTAGCGACGATGTTTTACAGTGAGAATTATTCAATGTGTTATGTCTGTTTGTCTGTGGATGTAATATTCAACAACTTTTTTTTCTGTGTACTATTATACAGTAAACAAATAGGATCATATTTTTTTTAACTTCCTGAAGTGTATTAAATTTTCCCTTGGAAGTTTCTTCCAACTTTCCCCGTAAGTTATTTTCCGGCAGGTGCCGGAAAGTTAGTTTGACTTTCCTCGGCTTCGCTCAAAATGTTCTTCTTCTTCTCCGGACAGTTTTTTTTTTTCAAATTTCCCCGGAATATTGTGCCAACTATCCTTAGAAGATGCTACCGGTTTCCACCGGAAATTTCTTTCGACATCCCTCAGAAATCTCTTTCTTCCGAATTTTTTCCCCAACTTCTCCTAGAAGTTTCTATCGACTGCCCCGTAAATCCTCTGGCTTCCGACTTTCTCCAGAAGTTACTTCCAAACTATCTTATAATGTCTCCAGGAAGCTTTTTTTTTCCAATGTCTCCACGTATTTACTTTAAACTTCTACCGGAACTATCGATCGAATTCTCCCAGAAGTCTCTTTCGTCTTCCTCTGGAAGCTTCCTCCGGAGGTTTTTCCGACTTCTATTGGATGGTATTCCTAGCTTCTTCTGACTTCCCCTTGAAATGACTACTCCTGGAATTTTCCAGTTCCGAAAGTTTGTCCGACTCTTCATAAAAATTTCATCATCCAGAAGGGTTCCTTCTTCTTTCTCTGGAAGTTTTTTTTTTTCCAGCTTCCTTCTAATTCAAACATTTCCCGAAAATTCCTTCTGATTTCTGCTGGAAGTAGATTTTCCGTTCTTAGTCCAAAAGTTCACCTTAAAAAGGCAAAAATGGAAACATATTATAAAAATAGGAAATACACACTTAATCTAGCTCGGTAAAATCTCCAACAGCCGATTACTTCGGCATTTACTTTTGCTGATATCTCTGCAAAATATCTGTTTGTTAGCTGATATCTCAGCAAAATTTTATTTGTTAGCTGAGTCTCGGCAATTGTTTTACTGAATCTCAGCAAAATAAATTGCAGAACTATACTCGGCTGTTGAAATCTCGGCGAAAAAAATTAAGTGTGTACCGATAAATACCGATTTTTTAAAACCTTTATTACCGATACCCTAATAAATAAATACCATATACGAACTGTATCCCGGATGGGTAAACTATCTCTCAAATGGTTTGGATGATATCCCGAACACGTCGTTAAGCTCTCTTTTATGAATCCTTTAAATTTGTCGAACCTCTTAACGGAATCCCTTTATGAAAAGCTTTGAGTGTGTTGTTTATTTCCTTTAAATTCCGTTATTAATTGCTTATCTTTTGACAGATATGCGTATTTCGTCTACTACTTGCAGACTTCATCAGTGCCAAGTACTCAACACCACCGCAATTATAACGGAATTTAAAGGAAATAAACCAACACACTCAAAGCTCTCTTTTATGGTTATTTTTATTAGGGTAAGCTTGGAAACTATCTGACAACGCTGAGCTGAAGAATATTGATGAATCGACAAATTAGTTTCCCAGCTTTGCAAGGGGTGGTTACCAAAATGCTGCCAGCCACAGCATGCAGGCTGGGTAACCTTTGGACAGATGTGGTGCGTAGGTGTGTGTGAGGAGGGAGCGAAATTTATTTGAGTGATCCATAAAATAGAGAGAAATATAGAATGAGAAACTCTCTCTGTTAAATCCAGGGTTGCCATTATTTCATGAATATTGAAAGTGAATACACGATGAAGACTTATGTCGTTTTCGTTTTTGCGGCGTAGCTACACCGGTGCTACACTGCCGTACACCGAAATATTTTAGGGTGTAGATATAGGATGCACCTTTGTTAACAAACAAATTGTGTTGAGCTGTCAAAGACTCGCGCTTATTCCTGCTTACACTACACCAGTGCTACACCGCAAAAACGAAAACGACATTAGTCATGGATGAAAATCAGAGGCCGAACGAAGCGATAATATATTATGTTTGTATGAGAGAGAGAGAGAGCTGTACCGCTTCCAACTTGTATGAACATGAACATGTGCCCAAATGATTGAACCATTCCACAAATAGTTTGGATGATACCTCAAACGTCGATATGCTTATTAACCATACATTGTTTTATTAGGAAAAGTCAGTCGTTTCGTCTTCCAAAATTAAGCCTCATGTTTAAAAAAATCTCAATCGAATAAATGTCATTAAGTTTGCAGATTTGGGGGTACAGGGATTCATTAAAAATCATGGAACATGAAGTTTTGATAGTTTTATCAGGAAAGAGAAAAAATATTGTGTAATTAGTCCTAATTCAGGATATATGGCAACCCTGTCAAACGAATGACGATTCTCTTCTCTAGCAATCCCTTCTTTTTCTGTTTACAACTCGCGAGTCGCGGTTTTCTCTAGCAAATCGAGCGAGCTCCGTTGGCCGCCAGTCTCCCGTTCGAACCAGCCAGTGCTGCATGTGTCTAGTGGATAGTTCTGAGATCGTTGTCGGTGGAGTGTTTCGGCCGCGCCGTGTGTGGGTTTTATATGGTGGAATATTGTAAAGCAGCAACAACAACAACAACGAACAGTAGCAGCTGGAAAGAAGAAGCAGCAGTGCAAAGACTCGAAGCAAAGGTTAGCATAAGCATAGAGCACAAGCTCCATCCGGATTCTAACTAACGGTACTGCGGTGGGCGCGCGGAGGTGGTCAATCTGGATGTCTCGTCGATCGTAGTGATTTTTGGGCGGTGAAAAAAATGTCATCGGAAATTTTTCGTCGATCTGGCTTGTGAATATTCTACGGTGGTGGTAGGCAAGGGAGTGCGGCACGAACGAAGAGGATGTTCCAGAGATTTTCCTCGCACTCTCGGTTTGAGTCAGTGTGTGTGTGTGTGTGTGTGCATGGTGGTGAAGAAAACTGCGGTTGCTTCGGGAGATTCCCTGGATGTTCGTTGGTGTGCATGAGTATTAGTGCGTGAGGTTACCAGTCCGATCCAGCTTATAGAACAATAATAACAAAATAACACCAAGGTCTGTGTACGAGTCGACAGCATAAAACTGGATTATTTTATATGGTAGATATCATGTATCTACGATATACAATAATCCAGTTTGGTACTTTTAGTATTATTTTTGTCATCGTGGACAATATCGGTCTGTTGAAGTTGCTGCAACAATGTTGATTATGACAACGAGTGAATGAAAATAATTTTTTTGACAGTTTTTGCCGTGAAGCGGAAGTGTATATCCATGTACCTAGTGCTGTTTGTGGGTTTCTTTTTCCTCTCTGGTTCGGTTGTTGGCATATTCTTATGCTGCGGGATGGTGAACATTGAGCAGTGTGCCTGTTCGTATGCGTGAGAATTATTTAGTCCGTGGCCCATTCAATTATCTGACTTGGATCTCGGATCAGCATCAGACATTCTAGGGGCTAACAAAGGGTAAGGATATAGTGAAAACTGTCTAAAGTCCTGGAATGTAAAAAAAAATGCAGTAATTAGAATTTAATCTTAGAACTACTACGCCATACCTCGATATAACGTAACTTACTTTTTCATTTCGCTACGTTATTATACGTATCGAAATTACGTTATATCGAAGCTATGCAATATTTAGGAATAATAATAAATAAATGGGTTCATAGCTACCTGAGGAGTAACGAATGCCAATTTTGTTTACCTTGTAGGTCAATTAAACTTTCATGCGTAAATTTGATTCAATGAAAAAATACTCATACATTTTGATCAATTCGACAGTGAGCATGCATAAGGGCGAATACGCGATGATCGATTCTCTTCATCGATTTTCTCATTGCATTGCTACAGCTAAGCGAAATTTTTTTTCTAGAATTTGTTCAATGCAGAGTGGTAATAGGTTGTATTGTCTATCAAAAGCAACAGCAAACGCAGCGAGAAACGTTAAATCTAGCGAGTATTAACAAAAGAGAAAATTGACGAAGAGAATCGATCATCGCGTATACGCCCTTATGCATGCTTAATGTCGAATTGTATGTTTCTTTGCAAAGATATCTTGGTGAATCAACCATAAAGGTAACAGCCGCAAAAGGCTGTCTTCAAAGAAAAGTTGTATCTTCTCTTCTATGGTTTCTAGCAGTATATGAACTTCTCATTTATTTTGCATCGCTAGGATTTAACGTTATTGAATTTGCGGATGATATAGTTAATTATAACTATTAAATCCGCTGAAAATTTGATGCAACCGTTCCAAACAGAATGCAGACGGCATTGCATGTAACTACGTTATGGTGTAAAAGGGAAGGACTACACTGAAACAAAGACCATAGTTAGGTATACTATTTTGCAGAAAACACTTATTTTCAGTATAACTACGCTTAATGCCGTTAAATCTACCATGATTTCAGTATAGTTGACTAAAAATATAATCAAATTTACTACCATTCTGTCAAAACTACTATGCTTACTCAAACGGCATAGTAGTTTTGATAGAAAAAATAGTAAAATTAAATGAATTTCGTTTCTGCACAAATCTATTGGTGGGAGTATTTAATTTAAACCATCAATATAGTATTTTTGCCAATGGATTTTGTTTCTGTGTACAAATAAAGCCATCAAAAACAACAATTGTATCTTTTACAAAAAACGAAGTCTTATTAAAAAAAACCTTTGGAAGGAATAGAATCACAATTTATGTGAGAAGTTAAATATTTAGGTATAACTTTAGATAGTAAACTCTATAGGAATGTACATTTAAAGCAAGTTCAAAAGAAAGCAACCAGTGCTTTTTGTATTAGTAAGAGGACGTTTGGTAAGACATGGGGACTCAAACCGAAAAACGTTGGATATAAACCAAGAATAAATTATGCTTCACTAATTGACCACTTTGTCAAGCAGTTTTGACGTGACGTTCTACCAGCGATTTCACAAAACTAGACCAACTAATTTCTATTTTTTGTGAAACGCAATAATGTTGGCTACTTTTCTCGTGGTTCTAGAAGGAAAAATCTCAAAATATTAAATAACATTTAAGTGTTCCATAGCGTCAGTTTCACGTTATTTTAAAAGTACTCAAATTTGGGTAGAATGCACCCAGTTCGGCCCCACACTGAATCTTCCCAAAAAAATGGGTAAACTAAGTTGGGATTGGCAAGTTGACAAATGAACAACATCGACCTAGATCGATGAATGCCTAATCTTAATAAATTCCCCTTCTCTTGCAAAACTTATCCAATTTCCTTTCGAAACGAATAAAATCTCAATAAAGCATAGAACCACGACTAAGAGAGCACCTATTCAAGTGTGGGAAATAACAATCTGCCTCTCGGAGAACAGCGGGTCAACAAATATAGCAACGCGATAGCATCCGACAAGCGTTGCTATCTGTGAAATGACAGTTTTATTTTTTTCATTTTAAAATTTTTTAAAATCACATGAAATGATGATACCTATATGAATGAATTTGGAAGTGTTCACTCAGCTGTCGAAAGAAGCAGACTAAAGAGGCTGAATTTATAGAGAGACGACATGTAAAAATTGGAACAAGTGTCGAAGTCATAGGAAAAGTTATTCCAATCGAGCAGAAGATCTGTCAAATGGATAAGATGTCGCCTCTTTACCCAATTCAGTCTCTTTAAAGCAGACCACTCTCGATGTGTGTCACGCGATCGTCTGCTTACTCGGCAGCAACCGTTGTGTGGTCTTCCTCATTGTTCTTCATCAGCAGTTCTTCCGGTCGATGCGTCGTCGACTTTGGAAAGGAATCGTTTAGTGATGAGTGTGTGAGTGCTGACCACGTTCTGCGTTCATTTCTGCAAAGGAAGCGCTCTGCTCCCCGTTGGCGATACTGTTATACAATAAAACCACTGGAAGCGGATCCCGTTTTGATGGAGGAGACTTATTGGACAGCGGAAGATAAAGTGTTTGTTGTGTTGTACCTATTGACTGTAGTTTTAGGATGTTTGTTATATAGTGAACAAGAATCCTCGGCTCTGTAAAGTCTCATAAAAGATCCTAGAAATTTTCTTAAGTTCTCTGGAGTTCTCTGAGCTTCCCTAAAAATCTTGGATTCTCTTAAAGATTTTCGATGTTTTTTTCTGATGTTTATGGAATTTCCCTGAATTTATCGGAATTTACTCTTACAGATCTTCAAACTTCCATGAACGTCTGAACTTTCTTGAAGTTCTTTGAGCTTCGCTGAAGTTATTGCAACTACCCTTAAGATCTCTGAAATTCCCTAAAGCTCTCTAGCCCTAGCTTCATTGAGGAACTTGAAACTTCTTTAAAGTGTGCACAATTTTCCTCACTTACCTAAAGTTTTCTGGATATCTATGTAATTGTTTGTTCACCATCTTCGACTACGTACTAAAAAACTAATTTAATCTGAACATTTTTCGTTTATTTGTTTATTTGTATATTGAAAAATTCAACTGACAATTATTGTCTAAATGAATAAAACTTAAACTAAATAGTTACGATCAACGGTACGGAAAAGGCCGAGTAACCGATGACGAAACACGCCAGCTGATACATCGAAGTTGAACATATAAAAGAAGTTGTTGAATTGCCGGCTGATTGCTCGAATTTGCTCGTGTTGTGTATAATTTCGGTGCCGTGGTTCCAAAAACAGAAAGTCGCGTTGACGAAGAGGTCTCTCAGGGGCATACATATTTCGCTGAGCCAGCAGTGTTGGACAGTCAATGTCACCCGTAAGCAGCTTTCCAGCGAACATAGCTTGAGCGACCGTCCGTCTCATCTCTAATGGTTCGATTCCCAGGAGACGGCATTAGAGGTGAGACGGATTCGTTGGGTCACGCCAGTTGAGGAAACGAAGAGCATATCTCACAAACTTGCGTTAGACGGATTCAATTCTAGTGATCCAGCTAGCATGGAAAGGGCACCAAACAACTCAACTTGACTCCAATAAGGATCGTACAAGCGAGCAGTAGAGTGACCTGAGGCAAAGCGGGTCACGGAACTCGTCAGCAATTTTGAAAATAAATCCCAATTGTCGATTAGCTCTGGAGATGATGTCATTGTAGTGGATTCTGAAAGTGAGTCTGCTGTCCAAGGTAACCCCGAGATCCTTTATGTGCTCTACACGAGCAAGACAGCGTCCGTAGAGAACATAGTCAAACATGATTGGTTCGATTTTTCGGTGATAGGAAATAATGTTACATTTTTCGATGCTTAGACTCATCAAATTTCTTGAGCACCAGTCAGCAAACATACCTAACATATTCTGGAGATCCCAACAGTCCGAGAGACTTTTAATAATTTTGTAGATTTTCGTATCGTCTGCATACAAAAGGTGTCATCCTGATGGTATCAGAAAGGCGACGTCGTTTTAAAAGATCGAAAACCTGTCCTAGGTCCTAGGTTACTGCCTTGCGGAACTTCCGAGTTGTTTGAGAAAACATCCGATTCCGACGCGCCAATCTTAATCCATACATATCGATTCACCAAGCAAGATCTGAACCAATCCACAGCCGTTGACGGGACGCCAAGTATCTCCAGCTTGGCAAGCAAGATATTATGGTCCACCGTGTCAAATGCAGCTTTTAGATCCATATACGCAGCATCGACTTGCCATCCTGAATCCATGGATTGCAAACAGTTAGAAGTAAACTGCACCAGGTTCGTGGACACGGAGCGCTTCGG